TCTTCACTGGGTTGTATAATTATACATAACAAAAATTAGGCATTCCTGACAAAACTAACCAAAGCGATGAGAAACCCTAATGACATTAGTGAGGATCAAAAAAAAAAAAAAGGGTAGTGTTTGAAAGCTCTTTTGTTATGACAATGCCGGGTATGTTAAGCCACTTGATTAAACTATTATTTATAAATCCTCTTTTGGATATGAGAGCATTTAAATTTCAAATGAAAGAAGTCAAAGAAAGACGTCCCTAGCATCTGAGAATCTGTACATGTTAGTTCAAGTTTCTCTTTTTAAAAGTAGATGTATAGATAATAACTTCTTTCCTTTTCAAAATAGTATTTTAGTTATCCTTATGTTTATAAAGAAATGTGCAAAAGATAATAGGTGATACCCAACAGTGTAGAGCTTTTTAAACCCTGAACATAATTTTTTTTGTTCCTTTAGGCTGTAAAAAAAGGCAATTTTTTTTCTTTACCTTTTTTAGTTGCTCCTGAATCACAGACAATAGTGATAAAAATGAAACCATTTAAAATACAAGTAATTTTTTAAAAAAATTTGACAAAACTATAGTTGAAGCATGATATTTAATTTGGCTGTGTGGTGCATTTTTTCCCAGCAGAAATGTGGAAAAATGAGCTACCTATGTTATGACATGTATCTAAGTATGTAGGTGCTAATATCTAGGTATTCTGTACATGCAAAGTCTAGAACAACGTGGAAACCAGCTTACTGACAAACTGACAAGTGGGATCCTGACAACGGCAAAGAAAGGCTATGTCCAGGTACTTAAAAATCAGTGAAGTTTTGTTTTTGAAAGTTCAAAACAAATTAAAAGAACAAATTTCACTGGACAAACAATGCCTTAACCTGAAAAAATGGCTTTAACGTTGAGACTTTCTCAATCTTGGCTGTGAGGTGCAAGAGATTCCATTATTGGGGGTGTGCTAGGGTGATCAACCATCCCATTTGCTCAGGACTGAGGCATTTCCGGGAATACGGGGCTTTCAGTTTTGGAACCAGGACAGTCTTGGGTAAACAGAGACAGTTGTACACCCTAGTTTGTGTTTTCACATCTCTCAGTTATTATACCTTATATAATACAAGCCAGGTACTGCACTTGGCTTGGCTCCAAAATCAGCTTCATTAGGCATTTGTATCAAGTTGATTTTTTCATGTTGCAGTTTCTTTGGCAAGTTAGTAATGATACCTGTAAATCCTGACTGATTTCAGTAATGACTTGATTATCAGCTATACAAAATACTTTATGTTTAATTTTTTTGTAAGTTCAATTAAGTAAACAAATTCCTTCAAATTGGGCAATTGATGCTTTCTCTTCTTACTTGCCAGTTCCCAAATGATTTTTTTTTCTACAAGAATGAGGCTTTCAGAAAGTTATATATGATTTTAAAAAATCCTTTCTTAATTTGAACTAGTGATTTTGAAATCCATTGCCTTTGAGGAAGATACACAGAGACTATGCAATAAAGTTGTAGAAAAATAAAGTGATCCATTAATTGGGTATAATATATTCCCCATTCACTCACCTCCCTTTTGGAGCAGATGAATATCTGTTGTCTTTTACATAGATGATAGCTCATAGAGAAATGATTTCTAAACCTTTATTTATACATGACTCCAGGTATGGGACAATAAAATGATATTCATGTAATTTTTATAGCTGCCAAGGATGGTGCCTGTCATTTGAAATTCTCAGTGCAAATTGCTCCCCTAGTATCAGCCATGGTTGGCAAAAATTGTCTGAAAAAATTTCCTCAGTGTGAATTGATATTTGGATGTAATGTTGCTTTTTAAACTTCTTCCTTTTGCACAAAATTGAAAAATTCTGGACAAATACATGAAAAGGAGTAAAAAAAATCATGTTTTCACTGAATGTTAAAACACAGACAGTTGGTTAAAAGTATATTTATAAAACAGGGGTGCCTGGGTGGCTCATTCAGTTAAGCATCTGACTCTTGATTTTGGCTCAGGTTGTGATCTCAGGGTTATGATATCGAGCCCTGAGTGGGGCTCCACGCTCAGGGGGAGTTTGCTTGATTCTCTCTCTGCCCTCCCCCCCACCCCGGCTCTCTTTATCTCTCTCTCTAAAAATAAATAAATAAAATCTTTAAAAATATATTTATAAAATAGAATACCCTTAAAATATCTACTAGTATTTAAATTATTAGGCGCCATCTGTAACTGGTAATAGTGTGTTCAAACGTACAATTGACTTTAACACTGAAGTACAGTACAGATTTCAGCCATTACATAAAAAATGTCCTCAGCTTAGGTTATGTAATGATAAACTGTACCTGTTGAAAAATATATGTGGAAAAAAGAAATAATTTTAATACAAATATGACTCATCTGCAGGCATTCATTTATTCTGATCCAGCAACCATGGTAAATGTGTTTGGATTACTGGGCATAGTATGAAACATTTAAAAGGGAGTGGAGATCTCTTTTAAAACAGAAGGCTCTTCAAACTCCACAATGATGTCAGAAATATAGGTCCTTGGAGCACATTATTGTTTTAAGCAGAGGTCCCCGCACTTTCACATTGGTTATAAAACATTATTTTGTGCTGCTGGCCTGGAATGAGAATGTCATGCATCTGCAGGCAATTAGAAGAAGCTGGACTGCATGTTTGATTAGCTCAATAATAAACGGGCACAAGTGTGACTCTACTTATGTTAGTCAGATTCCCTAGACAGATTATCCTGTTGTTATCATATGAAATAACCCCCTTTTATCAACAATTAAGTAAATCCACATTTATGGGCACTTTGCAAAATTGTGAGGTGGGAAGAAATCCAACTTAAGCCTTAAGTCATCCAAAAAACTTTTAACCCTGCTTTCAATGATACAGACCCCAATCCCAAGTTTTAGAAATTGGTTGAATTATGTAGAACAGTTGGGTTAGAAATACCCTGTGTGCACACAATCAGTTAATACATTTTTAGCATCTATCAAAAGCAAGGCATTTAATAGTTTTAGCTTATAACTAAAGAAAAAAGTTCTCACAGAAGAATTACAAATGTTTTAATCTGTGAAAAGTAATTTTGTAAGGTAGTTCTAAATCTTTTTAAGAAAAATTAAATAGGATTTCATTTTTATTATTCACATTTTATTATACAGTTTCTACTATAACCAATGAATGTTGTAAGTCTTGAATATGCCCTATCCTAGAACTTCTTCATTCAGTTCTAGGCATTGTTCTTGAATTCAGCCACAATCGTCAATGATAGACTATAAGCCACTTTGGGAAATGACCCATTCATTTACCTGTTTTTTTTCCTCCTAAGTACCATTAAAATATACACCTGAAGCATGAAAAATAATTCAGTATATAAAAGTCAATGCTTAAAAAAATTTCACCATAACTTTCCAGTTTCAGGAAAAATACTACCAAAGCTTCCAATCCAACTATATATTTAAATAACACAATTAAAAGTTGCTATCTTAAATAAACTCAAGATACTTTTTATCAATATTCACTCACATATACATAAAGTAACCTCATGAGCCTATCTCTTTGACATAATCCTTAAATTAAATATCGGAATATCAAGCAGATGCTGAAGCATTCAACATCATTATTGGAATTCTGACTCATGACAGTAACACGAAACAGATGCTAATATGATGCGCCCTCTGAAAAGTGACACCATCACAGCATGGGTTAGCTCTTGATGTGGGGTACTTAAAAATTTGAACACAAAATATAAAATAATAAAAGTCAGGGCATGATGGGTGTCCTTCATTTATAAGCCATTTGAAATCTATCTCATACAGAAGATAAAACTCAAAACCGGCACATAAAGGGCAGCATCTCAGGGAAACAGAAGATGCTTCTTTCACTTAATGCAGCAGTTTAGGTGACCCTGATTGAACACCTCAGTGTTGAGGGAGGCAGATGCTGTCGTTCTCACTCACGAACAGGTAGGAGGTTAGAAACTCCTGGACCCTTTCCATTGGCCAATGTGTACCAGGCACCTGTGGTGTAATATGGGATCTACTCTGTCAGCCCCTGGCAGTGCAAAAGGAGTCTGGGGCTCCTATGGCCCAGCTCAGTAACGAGCTCCACACCAGGCAGATCTGAAAGGGTTTGCTAAGTAGGAAAATGGAAACAAAATCTCTTATCACAGTCCAGTTAGCTAATATCCTACACATCTTCAAAGCCCAAGATTCTTATCATTTTGCTAGCATGAGTCTACAGCTGTTTCTAGAATACACAATGATGTGTACTCCTTGTGAAAATAAACAGAAAAACCCAAGCAGATGGTGCCATGGTGCAAGTGATATAAGCAAAACGTACTCAGATGAGAACTTAAAAAGATATAAATGTGAGTGGGACAGATGCCCTCAAAGGTAATGAGAAACAGAAGTCCCATTTCTTTATTCCTCAGTGAGAAAAATAAATTAGTGGCAAGTTCAATGAAAAGAAAGCTTGAGAACCCAAAGGAAGACATTTATGGAGTAGCTTGACAGTACAATTTCAAAGTCCAAATGAATAATCTGGCTGTTCCTTCTGAGAGCTGTGACCCTAGTTCTGCCTGCCTGGGTTTGAAAGCTAGTTCTACTCTCACCACCTGTGTGACCCCTGGTTCCCAAACTTGGCTGCACCCTGGAACCACGTGGGGAGCTTTAAAAAATATGGATGCCCAGAACCACCCCTCCCACCCCACAAGACTGTTACTTAATTGGGCTGGGGTGTGGCTTGGATATGGAGAAGTTTTAAAAGCTCCCAAGTGACTGTAGATAGGTGCCACTATGATTGAGAACCACTGTGCCACAGCTTCCTCATTTGCAAAATGAGGACCATACAGGCAGCAACCCCCTTTTAGGATTTTTGCGATGATTAAATGGTAATTCAGGCAAAGCCCTCAGCACAATGTGTGGCGTGTGGGAAGCTCTCAGTAAACGTGAGCTGTTACCATCCTCACCACGAGGTGCACTTGGACAAGAACATTCTCGTTAGCATAGTAAGTCATGCTTACCTTGGCACACGTTATGCTCACTCTGTTCGTAGCCTGTTGCACACTGGATCCGGTGAGAAGGGTTGGCAGGGATGCGCTGGGCGTCTGCTGGGTTCCGCCGGATGACAAAGTTATTTCGGCCAGTCTGCACTTCTGGGCCTGCCACCGCAGCAGCACTGGCAACGAAGCCGCCCCCGGGCATCACTCCACTGGATGCCATGCCGGTGGCCGCCATGCCCCCAGCGCCTGCCCCCGACGTGGCAGCTGCATTGGCCGCTGCACCCACGCCTTCCGCGGCGGGTGTTTCTTGCTGAGGTTGTTCATTATTGACAATAATCTGGGCTGTTTTAGGAAGGCAGAGGTATCCTCCATAGTGGTTGACACATTTCATTCCACCTTTGCAAGCGTCTGGAACAATGTCACATTCATCAATATCTGCGGTCGACAATAAAATAAATCAGGGATCTTCTCAGAGGGAACTCTGAACATGTAAATATATGCTCATGCCTTTCTGGTAGATACAAACAGGACAGCAAGAGTGACATGAGATGGAGACAGAAAGCTATGTTCAGAAGGGAAGTCTTTGAAGTTGGCTCACCTTTGCACTGCTGTCTTACAGGATCCCACTCATATCCATCTGTGCATTGCTGTGAAGAAAACATCAAAGATGGGACCAGGAGACAATTAATTGGTGTATTCACTTCCTAAGAAGTCACTCTAAAAGCTTCATTCCTATGGCAACAATCCTTGCTCTAGAGTCCTAGATAGATGATGAGATGGGTAGTTTAACATCCCCTAGATTTTCTCCTTTCTTCCTTCCTTCCTTCCTTCCTTCCTTCCTTCCTTCCTTCCTTCCTTCCTTCCTCCCTCCCTCCCTCCCTTCCCTCCTTCCTTCCTACAAATCTGTGCATTGGACCACTTCAGGGCTCCCTTCTCAATTACCAGCTGCCTCAACTCTTGTGTTGTATTTGGTAGAGTTGCACATCACCATCTCGGAATTTTCTCTGTCTCAGTACTGATCTTCTCTAATCTCTCTGAATGACCGTTTTTGCTTTATTTGCCCTTCTTCCACATTATATATTTTACCACCACCACCAACAAAAACAAGTTCCTTTTCTCAGCCCTTGACTCTTCCCTTCCTCTCTAAATTCTCTTAGAGCATTCTAGCACCTGCCTTTCCTTATTCCTGTTCAGCTGAGTCCCAAGCCTCCCACTCACACCCTGGCCTGCCTCCTAGCTTTAATTCCTACCAGTCCTCTCTAGTTCACTTACTAAACAAACCATCTACTGAGTACCTTTTCCTACTGGGCACCATTCTAGTCCCTGGGCATACAAAAGGTCATGAAGACCTTGTCCTTGTGGCTCACAGATCAGAAGAGGAGACAGACAGGTAGACAAGTTGGAGCAAGATGTCAGGTGCTGTGACACAAGCATGTATATGCAAAGAGTGATGGACTCTGTCCAGGGCTGTGTGTGGGCATGACAGGGTGGAAGAGAAGGCTTTATGGGGGAGGCCACAAGTGAATTATGCCTTAGAGGCTCTTTCCAGGGGAATGTGGGAATTCTAGGATGAGGGACCATGTGAGCAAAGGTGCAACATTGTTAAAGAAAGAAGGAGCTGCAAGTAGTCTGAGTGGGGGGGATGCAGTTAGAGGGACAGGCAGGAACCAATTCCTACCTTGAATGTCAGTGAATCTCAAGCTTTATGATCAAGCCTAAGAGTCACCCAGGGTGCTTGTTAAAATGCAGACCTAAAGGATCGGATTCTGTAGGTCTGGGTAGGAGGCTTGGAATCTGAATTCCTAACAAGCATCCCAGGTGATTCTGACACAGGTTGCCTATAAGCTACTTCTTGAGAAATGCCACGATATGTGATAAGAGGCCCCTGAAGAATTTTATTTATTTATTTTTTTTCCCTGAAGCATTTTTAAGCTCAGGAAAATATGTGACCAGATGCAGATTTGAGGAAGATGCTCCAGGAAAGATTGAGCAAAAGTAGAGTGAACAAACAAATACACTTGAATTTTTTTAATAGAGCTGAGAGCTGCTTATGCACACAACAGATGCTTGGCAAGTAAATAGCTGAATGGAGACAGAGAGCTCAGTTTAAATATTTTAGCGATATCTGAAACTTCACAGGGTGAAAACTAAACTCATTTTATCTCCTAAGCTAATTCTTTCTAGTTTCTCCAACCTGTCCAAGGCACCACCACCTTTCTTAGGACCTCAGATTATAACTGTAACATCCACACTGACTTTTCCACTTATTTTCCTTCAAGCTCTGCTGACTTTGTGTCCAGTTCTGTATCTACCACATTGGTATAAGCTTTCCTGACTTCATGAATAGGCAAGGCTGTTTGGCTGTCCTCCATATCCCTGTGTGCTGCACACAGCCTTCATGACAATCCTTCTTGGTCTCTTGATTATGTTACTCCTACATTTAAGAGCTCACACTGACTTGCAGACTTCTCAACTCCCACTTCTGCCATCTCCAGGTTCCCCCCACTACCCAGCACCAGCCCATCTAACCTTGTCATCTCCTCAGCTTGTCTTGGTTGTTTTTACCTCTAGACTTTGATCATGTCATTTTCTCTGATTCAAGTGCCTCTTCAGCCTTTCTAGATTAATCTGACATCATTACTTCTTTCAAGATTCAGCACAGAACTCGACCTCTTCCAATATGCCAGTACTGACATTACTTCCTTGCTTTTCTATCTCTTTAGCAACTTGTATAATCAGTATAATTATAATATTTGTACTTGCTTATGAACTTTGTAGTTCTCAACAGTATTTTCCCGGGGTAAATTCCCTGAGGTGAAGGTCTGAATTTTCTTAGTAAACAAATAACCTTGAATTCTTTTGCTGGTGGTAAGAACAGCTTATGCACATGGTAGCTACTTGGCAAAAAAATGGCTGAATGGACCCTAACTTTAAAATGGAAGGAGTAGGGGTGCCTGGGTGGCTCAGTTGTTAAGCATCTGCCTTCAGCTTAGGTCATGATCCCAGGGTCCTGGGATCAAGCCCCACATCCTGGGATCCCTGCTCAGCAGGAAACATGCTTCTCCCTCTCTAACTCCCCTTGCTTGTGTTCCTTCTCTCGCTGTGTCTCTCTCTGTCAAATAAATAAATAAATAAAATCTTTAAAAAGAATAAAATGGAAGGTGTATTTAAGGCTGTCTTGTGAATATGAGCTCAATCTTCCAAAAAGTATCTTTCAAGCCAGGCACAATGACAGTTCACTGAATAATCTGTATGCTAACTAGAGAAGACATGCAGATTGTTTTGGGTATTTAGTTCCAGTACATTTAATATGGATCTACTATTAAACAAGCCTAGACTGAGTTTAGCTTCACCACTTGCCGGCTGTGTGGCCTTCAGCAAGTTAGATAGATACTCTCTCTGATCTTCAGTTCTACTATTGGTGAAAGGAAGATGATACCACTTACCTCAACCTTTGCTGTGAAAATGAAAGGAGATAGTGTCCCCACAATGGGGTACTCACAAAGTAGTTACATCTTATTCTTTAACCATGAATTATTAGGCATACACAGTTCAAGAGAGAATAGACCTAATTTTAGAGCAAAAAGGATGTCATATCTGGAAAATCTGCTATAATAATAATGAACCCTAGTTAGTGGTTTAAAACCCTAGTGTTTAATCCACAGGGATCTTCCTCTGCTAAAGATGAATGTGATTTAGTTGATGAACCAAAGAGAAGGAGGTATAAACAAGCAATTGTAAAAGCAATAAAATATTTTATTGGATGACTATAAAAATGGGTAGTTAATTTAACTTTAGCTCCCTAAGAAGGTAGTAAGTTTAGCCTGAACAACAAAACATTCTCATTTGAAGATAAACAACACATGTATTCATTTCTCGTGCTTTATTTATCTTCAGCAGAGGAAGCAACTACATTTATCATTAAGTTAACAAAATATTTATGTGAAACCCTATTTGATTTATAGTTGATCTGAACAACAACAAGGAACATTTTCCAGATGAATACTAACATTCTGGGGATAATAGGATACCAAAAAGTGAGATAATGTTTATTATCAGTAATTGACATTAGCTCACTTTTAGGAGTTTTATTTTCAAAAATTTTTCACATTCTTTTGAGTAGGATTACTTCATTTTAAATTGGGAGCAAGTAGAAAAATATGTTTTTCATATTGTGATCCAGGACAAATGTCACTTGCCTCACGACACTGGTTAAAGACTAGAAAACACAAAACAAAATCAAACAAATAAAAAACCAAAACGAGGTGCAAATAAACTCACTGGAAGTGAATTAGTACTGCCCTCTGTTCTCACCATATCCATCCCTGATAGTGGGATGGGTCAGATGATGTTTTCAATATTTTATTATACGTTGGTTATGTCCATGCAATCAACTAATTAATCAGATATTACTTGGAAATAATCAGATGCAATTAATTAGAAAATGCAAAATCAAATTTCACACAATGCATTTTAGGACCACTTCAGACAATACTGCATCCTGGTAGCACAAATATTCTACCTGAAGGGCATTTATATGAATTATCAGTTATACTGTAAATGAATATATAGCCTTTATAAATTCAATAAAGGCCACTTCACGAGAACGTAAGTCACATATACAAATGAGGTATGTGCTTTTGTGATGTTTGATCTTATTTGACTTGTCTTACTCTGCAAATTTTGGTTTTATCTGCATGCATATAGGAATCCAGGCTTTCCAATTCCTTACCCTCATTAATGTATTGAATGTGTTGGAAACATGGAGCTTACTTTGGTTTTTGTTTTAAAGGGGTCTCCTTTTTCCGTCTTGCAAAAATCATTACATTTTGGTCCCTATCTCCACTGGTGATCTAAATGAACTTTTGGAGAGACCACGGGCAATTTAAACAAATCTTAAATGTGAACCGTACTAAAGCGTTGTTTAATTTATTACCCTCCACAGCCTACAGCTCACATACACTGGAAGGAGTGGATAAAGTCTCCCTTGTGTCACAGAATCCCGCTGAACGCACTTATCTCAAATTCCATCACCCCTTACCGTGTACGTGATGGTTTCTTCGGTGTCCTGTGACTTGACCAGCGCCAGAGTCAGCATAGTTAGGAAAAGGGCTTTCAACATCGTGAATCTCAAAGAAAACACAGGACAAACTGATGCTTAGTAATTGCTGCGGGGGGGTGGGGGGCAGGCAATAACAAAACTTGAGCTGTGCGGTAATAAGCAAGGAAGGGCAGGAGGGAGAGGCTGAGGTTCCATCATACCCAACTTCCAACCTACTTTCTCATTCCCCCTCCCCTCCTCAACCTTCCCTGGGCCAAACGAGACACTAAAGACTGTAAAAGGGCTGCAGAATTACATTTCACTTTACTCCATCCAGCTGCGCTGAACATATACAAAGGATATTCAGCGAGCATTTTATACTGCACCTACACAACAGGATCCAGAAAGGGGGTGGAAGGGAAAGAATAGAGGGTAATTAATTTCAAGGGAGATGGTGCATTTGTGTGTATGCGTGAGTGTGTGTGTGTATGAGAGACAGAAACAGACATACGGACACACACACACACACACACACAGAGGGGAGGCGGGGTTTAGCAAATCTCATATTCCTTGAACATTAAGGCTTTCCCTATATGCTCACCTCCAGCTAGCGAAGTTCCTCGCACAGCTCAGCAGAAATACCTGTGAATTAATATGAATTACCTTGGCCTCAAACTTTTTTTTTTTTAACAAAACACCAAAACAAAACTTAAAGAGCAATCTCCTCCGCTAGTAGAATACCTGCCCTTCAGAGTTCCATCTCATATCCCCCAGAACAAACCCTCAAAGTGGCATTTCGATGCCGTTCTCTGCGCGCAGTTTTGTGTGAAAGCCCCAGGGTGTGTGGAGGAGTAACCCAAAGTGTCTGATTTTCTGGGTCTTATCAGTCCCTTGGTACCCGACACGCTACCTTCAGGATCGGGCTGCCTAGAGCCAGAACCCGGGGACCACACCGCCGCCCGAGTTACTAGTTTCCAGGCGGCCGGCCTGGCGCCCCCGGAGAGGTGAGGTTCCCTTTTTTAAGTTAACAGGCTGCAGCCTCGGGAGCTGCTCTGCGCTCCCGCTTTTAGCCAGCTCCTGTGGAATCCAGTTGCGGCTTAAGTCTCGTACATTAGCCCCCTGAAACTTTCAAAACTTCGTTTATGGGCAAAGCCCAGTCGGCTGGTTGTCGGCGCGCACACACTTGCCCATCCAAACAGATGTCACCCTGGTACGCGCACATGCTGACAGATCGCATTCCGAGACCGCACACCTTCACCTTTCTTTCTGCCTGAGAGATCCTGCACAGTCTGGGGCAGTTCTTGGGTACCCTGCACCCCTGAGGTTACCCCACTTACTTCCCTGCGCGCGGCCCGGCGGGCACTGGGCGCGCCAGGGTCTCCTACCTGCGCGGCCGCGCTGCTCTCCGGGCCTGGGCAGCAAGGGGAGAATGCAGGGGAGGGCAGCCCGGTGGGTCTGAACTGGCGAGGTCTGGCAGCGGCTGCGGCGGCAGGAGGAGGAGGAGGAGAAAGGGAGGGAAAGGGGGAGGGCGAAGGGGGGCGGAGGAGAGAGCTGAGGGAGGCGCAAAGGCTGAGCTAGGCGCTGCAGGCCGGGCGGGAGAGCGCTCTGCGCAGCTAAGTCTGAGCCCCCTCCTCCGAGGGCCCTCGCGGCTGCGGCGCCTGCCCTCCTCTGCCAGCCCTTCACCCCAGTTCCCAGACACGCCGGAACCCCAGGCCGAAGATGGCATGCTTGGCATGTGAGGTCTTGGGTTTGAATCAGCCTTGGTGATGCTCCAGGCTTCAGGACAGTATCTCGTGCCCCGTAGAAGGAAAACATCTCTCCCAGAGAGCTGCTCAGGGTCCTGAGAAATTGCTTAAACATTTTTTTCCAATAAGTGAATCCTAGGACAGTTAATTAACCCCATTCATTGGACTGGTTCTTTTTGCCCTTTCTTTCAGATTTATTTATTTATTATTTATTTATTTATTTATTTATTTATTTATTTATTTATTTTTGCGTGGGGGAGGGTCTGCTTCCTCAAATGTAGAAAAAAGAGAATTCATTCAACAAATATTTTTGACCTACTATGTGCCAGGATTGGCAGTGGGCCAGGTATAGCTCATGTTAACAAAATTGTGAGGTCACGTTTGTTTTTGGTCTCACAAACCTCTCCTATTTTTGGGCCCATTTTCTTACCTACTGCTTCTCTTCTCTCCGCTGGTTCACTTGCAGGAGTCCCCACTACTGGTCGTTCAAAGTTGGGCATTTCATTTTCACCTTTCATACTAATGGTGGAATTTCGGGAATCTGGAGAGCAAAAAAATTTTTTTTCTGGCTTCTTCAAATCATACCACACAGATTGCTGTTATCTCCGAAGGCTCTAACTCTACAGTCAGATTAATAGTTTGCTTCTAAGGCAGTCATGTCTTCTGAGAAGCAAACAGCCAAATACAACTTCATGAATGAGACAATGTGCCAACTGAAGGTACTAAAGGACTTTGACCCCAAGCAGAAGACAGAGGCTGGGAGAGAGAGGATCAGCTCCTTCCCCTTTTCTGCTGGGCAACGGGGGAGAAGGTGGTAGACAATGCAAGAGAGAGAGGCTTTGGGTGGAGGCCTCTCTCCTTATCTCTGGGGTATGCAGTGGGTTGTCTAGATCTTGCCAGATTGGTTGCAAGCCACACAATATTGGGCAAGATCAAAAGAGCTTCCTGGCCCTGAAGCTTACATAAGTATGTGGGATTTTGCTAGTAGTATTGAAGATTTTTACTACTAAAATTCAAATAAGTTTGTTTTCCCAGTCTTAATGACCCCCAAACTTAAAAAAAAAAAAAGAGGAACCTTGCCTTTGTATAGTAAAAAGATCTGTCCAGACATTTTCTTCTATTTTTTTTTTTAATTCTATCTTCAGCCCTCTCCCCAGAAAAAGTGGGTTGAAACTCCCAAATTTCTATCTCCAGCCGGGAACTCTTCCTGCCTGAATATCCAACTGCTGACATTGTTATCTTCATCTGTACATCTAATGGGCATTTCAAACTTAGCAGGTCTGCTGAGTCTTACCCTCTCTCCCAGCCTACATGCTTCACCATCTTGATTAATAGCAATTTCATCTTTCCAGTTTGTTCAGCTCCAAAATCATGAGTCAACCTTGATTTCTCTTTTTCTCACACACCTTGCATTCAATTGTTCAGAAAATTCTCTTGGCTCCATCTTCAAAATATATCCAGACTCAGACCACTGTTCATCACTTCTTTTGTTAACCCCTGGTCTGAGCAATTAGCATCTTCCACCTGGATTATTACGATAGCCTCCTGCAGTTTTTTTCTCAGCAGAAGTTCATATAGATGGATCCTAGAGTAGGTATTCTTCCGTGTCTGGCTTCCCTCACTTAGCATGCTTCTAAGATGCATCCTTGTTGTTCATTCCTTTTTATTGCTGAGTAGTATTCCAATGTATGGATATATGCTAACTTGTTTATCTGTTCACTTGTTGATAAATATTTGGACTGTTTATGAATAAAGCTGTCATGGGCGTTCATGTAGAAATTTTTGTGTGGATGTATGTTTTCCTTTCTTTTAGGTAAATAGGAGAGGAACTGCTGGGTTATATGGTAAGGGTATGTTTAACTTTAAAAGCAAACACCAAACTGTTTCCCAAAGTGACTGTACCATTTTACATTCCTACAAGCAACATGTGAGATCCCATTTGCTCCACATCCTTGCCAGTACCTGGTATTGTCAGTCATTTGTAGTGTTAGCTGTTTTGGTGGATATATAAATGGCATCTCATTGGTGATCTCATTTCTAATGATGTTGAACATTTTTTATTTCTTTATTGTCCACCAATATATATTCTTTTGTGAAGATCCCATTAAAATCATTTTTTTTTTTAAGACAGGGAGGGTGGGGAGCAGGGGGAGAGGGAGAGAGAGAATCTCAAGCAGGCTCCATGCCCAGTACAGAGCCTGACATGGGGCTCAATCTCACGACCCTGAGATCATGACCTGAGCCAAAATCAAGAGTTGGATACTTACCTGAATGAGCCACTCAGGCACCCTATCCTTCCTACTTCTAATGATAGTGTATCTCTTTACTAGTTGAAAAATAGTGAAATTGGCAATGACATTCTTGGGTTACTGATTCAGGAGAAGGCTTATTATCCCACTTCAAATTAATCAGAACTAAAAGGAAGTACTTCTTTTCCGTAGTTAGGGGAAAGGCCTTCCAAGCTCACAGTGGAGGGGAACAATGGAGCCCTTGGCCTCAGCTGCCACTGGCAGCCATATTACCACCTGGAGGTAAGCCAGCCTGATCGTGAAGGTGGTACATGCTGTGGGTGGCCAACACGTGGACAGAACCTAGATCCTGGATAGATTGTTCAGAGGGCTGACTGATCCTAGGACCCACGATACTTTTAAGGGTTCTCCACAATGTTTTATTTTCTTATAAATTCAGAGGAAAAAACAAATATCATCCAGCCTGATTAAGTGTCTTAATACCATTGCAGTCATGGAATACAATTTATTTTATTTTTTTTAATATTTATTTATTTATTTATTTATTTATTTATTTATTTATTTTAGTGGAGGAAGGGGTCCATGAAGGCAAAAGTGCCCAGGGACCATGAAAGTCATAATATGGCCCTGATTGTTGCACTTCCAAATCAGGCAAATGTGGACTCTGTTCCACCTCGGCACTCCAGTTTTGTGAGGTAATATATTTTTTTATGATTCAAGCCAGTCTGAGTCAGGTGTTCAGTTACTTGCAGCAGAAAATGTACTCACTGCTAGCGTGAGGAGGTCTCCTACTCTGGAAGCTCTGGCCCTTGTGATGTGCTATGTTTGCGTCCTGCACTCCTGAGTGGCAGGCTGTGTTTCTTGGGAGAGGCTGTTGGGAGAGATTCCCAGGCTTTCTGTCCTTGGGCAAGCTGAGTTCCAGCCACTTCTGCTTGGATCAGCTTCTGAGTTCCTCCCCACCACCCCCTTGGCATTTGTGTGTGTGTGTGCGTGCGTATATGTGTGTGTGATTTTTAAAGATTTAAGACTTGAACTCTCCCTTTAATTCAAGAAGGTGACTCTGGCTTCTCCTCATGTGATCTGAAAGGTAACCAGGAACTAACTTTTATAAGGGGGCCCTCTGCTTCCTAGTTTACCAACTATTATACTATATGTATTACAAAAAAAAATTTATATTATATTTTCTTTAATATTTCCTTTTTAAAAATTCCCTGAAAATAATTAGAAGTCTCAAGGACCCACAGGCTCTTTAATTAATTGAGTCATGGAGTCAACAAATCCTGTGGTTACAAACTGATTAAGAATATTCACTGATGTGTGGACAATGGGAGAGTGAAATCTGTAAAAAAAACAAAATGAATTAAACAAAAAGGCAGTAAAGATGAAACAATTACATAGGGATTAATGGCAGGGTGGTCAATTCACCCCAGTTTACCCAGGACCTTTCCAGTTTTTGCACTGACAGTTCTGTGTCTTGGAAAAGTCCCCAGTTCTAGACAAATTTAAAGGTTTGTGTAGTGGAAAGAAAATAGGACAAGTAGCCAGGAGTTCTTGCCTGGACTTTGCTATGCTCTAGCTGGTAACCATGGCAGTTACTCAACTTCTTTGAATCAGTTCTGCACAAATGTTGACCAGGGTAACAACATTTATAACTGTAGTTATTATTTTATACTTACCTGTATTTGTCACCTTGTTTTTGCTGGTTCCTCATCTATTCCTTCTTCTTCTGGAAGGTAATAATATCCTGATTTTTCCTTTGGAAACCAACCCTTATAGTGACAGGCCATGACTAGGCCTGCCCATAGAATGCCACTAAGTATGCATAAAGGGAAAACTCATAGGCCCTAAAAATAAGGGGAAATGGCCCAGTGCTAGTACAACAAGAATGTCAAGGCCAGAACCTGGTTATTAGGCCTAGTGATGTGGCAGAATTATTGTCTTCTTAAGTTGTTTCCATGTGCTGATAAGAATGAGGATACAAAGAACACAGGGCCCATAATTCCATGCCCCTCTGACTGGAAGGAGCCCATTCCACATGGGCTGTCAAGACTTCTAGGCTTTAGGCCTGCCTCTGTGAGCTACAAGGCAGGCAAAGAGCTGGGGCATACCTCCTGAGCCCTTATTTCATTATATCCTTTGCTGGCTGATTCTTTCTATCCCTGAATCCAGACACCATGGTTTGTTCCAGAGCATTTCCAATCCATATGATTTGCATGAAGCTTATTTTTCCTCTGACTCTATGGGTGAACACATGACCCAGGCTCTGCCAGTCGTAACATCAAATCTCCTATATCCACAGTGATTGGGTCAGAAATGATAAACACACCCTAAGATAACCCCCACTGAAGGGTCAGTGTGGCATAAGACTAGGATTCCAGAGAGTCTGGGTTCAAGTCCTGACTGCACCTCACTGGTTGTATGAACCTGGGAAAGTTACTTAACCTCTCTGGGCCTCAGTTTCCTCTTATGGAAAGTGGGGATAATGATGATTCCTATCTTGTAGAATTTTTA